ATTCAAACGATCGTGTCACCATTTCATCGAAGGGGTTATGATATATTCAGATATGAATGTCACTGTAACATATGTTTCATAAGTAAAAAACCTTTTTTTCTGTATTCAATGTAACACATTTCATTTTTGATGAAAATATCAATACAATACGAATGTGTTTGAGAACTATGAAATTTTCATGGATGATTTTCTTCAAACTCTTCATTAAATGTGCCTTAATATGTATTACTGCGTTAGCGTGTATTTTCGATAATATATGCATATGCCAGACTCATTCATTCAATAAGAATCTGAACTTTGATAATAGAACAATCAATAGTTGTTAGATAATATTTAACGAGATATTATCTCTTCGTTAGTGTATTGAAAAATATTTGACACCCTTTGAAATAGATATCTATTTCTGTGGAAGCTTCCAAGAAAAGTACCTGAAATTTTAATAGAAGCACACTAGAGAATGACATCTATGCATGGAATACTTACCATATTTAGAGCTGCTTTTCAAGAAAGATAATCATTTTGTCAGATGAACTAATTGTTAAGCGTGTAGCAATTTCTTGGCCTATGAGATTAAACTGCGATATGAATAATATAGAGAAAATCCTAATGAATCAAGTCGAATCGTTTGATTTCTTTAAAAGAGGCAGAAACGATCAAAGTATCTATCGATGTATCTAGACTGACAAATTAACGCATTCTAAAAATGTAAGTTTGTTTTCTGATGAACGTATCACACTTGCAAATAGATGTCCAAAACTTTCACATTGTAATATTCGATATCAATTTAAATTTATAACGCATTATTTTCATTCATACAAGAGGTGAGTAAGTTGTATAGCTTAATAGCATTAGATTTGTAGACACTGTACGTCAGAGCATTATTTTGTGACTAATTTTTCTACTTAACTATTGCTTTGTTAGGAGTTCTCGTGATTTTTGAACAGTTCCTCTAATAGATTCTGTGGTGTTTAGTGGATGCAGAGCGAAACCTTTGTAATTTCTGGAGTATTCGATTCGAAGGATGTGGGCGTCGACCTGAACATAGCTATGGTCGTTCTCTACTATTCTATATCCATACCTAACGAATGACAAAAAGAGGATGATAACTCAATTCCGCAATTGTGGTTCCAAGTGATAAATGGAATTGCAAGAATTATATGGAATTGATTTCGCAATGTTCAACATCGCGCAATAGGGTGCATCCTCAGATTTTAGTCGAATTAGTATCATTTTGATTGAAAATCTACTCTCTAATTAAGAATTTCTAATAATTGGTAGTTCTGCCCTAAATGAAGAAGTGTATTTTTCTCAAACTATCTGCCACACAGCATGAGACTTCTATCTTCGCTACAAAACTCTTTCTTATCTCCAAATTTCTTATTTGGTTATTTCGTCTGTTACGATGAACATAACTGGATTCTGTAGATATTTTCCAAACATAGAGATTAGGGCCTAAAACACATCGAGTTTTGGTGCTCCTTCACAGTCCCGGCTCAATTCTTTTCTTGCCAAACATTGAAATGTCTGTTTTGAGTGAGATAGTAGTGTTCTTTTTCTTGTATTATAATTCTATAGGAATTATTCGATGAGCTTTTCTCCAATTGTTTAATGGCTTCTAAGGTTTTACTTCTTGTTTTAGGCCAGAAATTGCTAAACATACAGTAAATGCGTTACCACGACCATATAGTGGTGCCTATCTAACAACATTATGTGAATGTACGTTACTTCTATTATCGATGACATTGATTCAATTTCCAAACGTTAAAAAAGCAGATTATGCCATAGTATCGACTTTGCCATCAAAGATGGCTGTTTCAAACAACAAGAAAACAACTCGTTCAATATTCGTTATAGCATTTCAACGAAAATTTTTGATTGCTGCACTTGGAGGGTTTGTTTCATGGTCTGCCATGGCTGTTCAGATGTCAGCCACTCCACTAGCTATGACGAGAGCTGGATACCAGTTCTCTCAGTCAACAACAGTTATTGAATTCCACTTGTTGGGAATGTTTGTACCATCTTTTTTCACTGGAACTCTTTGTAACCTACTTGGAAGTCGACTGGTTATGTTAGCTGGATTATTGATACAACTTACGGGAGCACTTCTATTTCAGCGTGGATTTCAATTTAACCATTTTAATTTAGGTCTGATTATCGTCGGAGTCGGCTGGAATTTCGGTTACGTAGGTGCTTCAGCATTGCTTACCGAGTCACATCGACACGACGAAAAACAAAAAACACATTCACTGTATGAAGCAATCGTTATGTCTAGTATATCAATTGCGTTCTTTTCATCGGCATTCATGGAACAGCGTTTTGGGTGGATTACTTTAACCGGAAAAATAATAAGCACGTATTTAGCATTGGCTGTTCTTATAGTATTTGTTGACACAGTTTTAGCGTTATTTCAATCTAAAGATGTTCGAATGCCGCTGCCAACGAACGACGAAGATATTCAAACTCCGGCATAAGTTACAATGCAACTTTCAAAAACTACCGTTTTTTAGAGAGAAGCCATAAGAAATTTTGATATTAGGATTTAATTTATGGATAACTATATCTTTCATAATTGAAAAAATAAAAATAACAACGAAAAATATAAAAGACAAAATCAATTTATTCAACTAAATAAAACAAAAAACAACTCCCTTTCAACGCCGAGTTTTATATGTATATATTGCCATTGATAAAAATTATCGAGTTCTAGGAAAATAATAATATGAAGATATTACGGCAACAACGGATTTCGTCCCAAAGCAATGAATTATAGTGTGAAGTATGAGTAAATGACATGAAAATCCTTCCTAAAAAGATTTCGAAACAAGAAAAAGAATAACTAAGCTTTCATGAACGTATGAATGCAAATGGATCGGTATAGAATTACAAGAAGGCGTTAGGCTCCTTCAAAAATACACAGTTACATTTGACGATTATGTAGGTTGTTTAAAAAAGGTGACCCATATTCAGTAATTCGAAGAAATAAACACTTTGACATTATGAAAGCGATAGAATTTCATCTACTTTGAAATTATTGATTTCATATAACGGCTTTGTTAAAAAACTTGTTTGTATCCATGTTGCACTTCTATTCATTTAATATTTTTTATTCATAAACTGGACTATATTATAGAAGTAATGCTTTTGAATTTTTCAAATAACGCACAATTTATAATTATCAATTAATTCATATAGGTAAGCGTGTTTGTAGTTCAGAGCGTGAGTAAAAACAATATGTATATGAACATATACAATATATACTTACAATTGGACAAAATTGTAAGAAAATACTGTTCTTGTGTTGCTATCTTCATTAGATACAATTTGGTTTGGTAAATCAGATGTAGGGTTATTTACGCAAAAAAATTCATTCAACTTAAGCTGAGAAAGCTACTGTTCATTTTGAATTTATTGTTATCTGATAACATTTTGAAAGTAATTTACTACAACATTATATTATGACATTCAAATACATTTGTAGCTAATACCATTGAATTAAATTTAGTATGATGCATCGTAAGTGTATCATCTTCTTAGTTTAATGAACAACTACATTTTTCCCTTTCAAATATTTTAACACCTCACGTTAGCACAAGCTTAAACTAATAAAATGATTCATTAAAAACGACAAAGTTGATACACGCCATTTTTTTCTTCTGTTCGAATCTATTTCTTATCAACTTTTATCCTTATTTAAGTCAATCTGGACGTTTGAGTGAACTACCTTATTAATTTCCCTAGTGAAAGTACTCGTCCAGCGAGTACAACTTTGCAGCAGGAATACTCAGATTACTCGAGTGAGTATTCGATGAATTTTGTGCTTAACTATACTTTTTGTGTACTATGACGAGTACTCCGGTGAGTTTTTTCTCTAACAATTATTCGTATACGAAAATACGAGTACTTGAGGTAGTACTCATCGTCGTTTTTCAGAAGGCATTTAACAAAACATCTATGCACTAGGATGCATGAAAATAAAATAATACTGTGTAATTAAGAACAACTATATAATGAATCGAAAATTACGGAAGAACTTTAAAAATAGATTGTCAATTTTATTCTCTATATTTTGTGATGAGTCACTCATGTGGCTTAATCAATTGGCTATTTAAAGAATAGAAGAAAACAAATTCATTTCATTTCAGCTATTCATTTCTCGCGTAAGACAAAGTATTTATTTGAAAATGTAAATTATTTGTTAAACTTAATGTCTTAAATCAAAGATGCAATATCGTTTTAGATAGAATTAGATTTTTTTCTGATAATTGATGAAAAACAAGATGCATGAGAAAAGTTTTCCAAAAACATGAAATTATATATTGTGAAGAAGCATTATCATACAAAAGACAGTTCATACATTTTCTGTTTGTTACTTAACGGTTTTTGTTTTCGATTTTACAAGTTTATATTTTTTGTAACGATCTTAAGTGAATGTGTATTGCTCTCGAGTATCTTAATTTGATTCATAATTTATTTCTCATTAGTGTTTGTGTTTGTGTTTACATATGTTGTGGTGTTCTTAATACAGGTTTTTATTCACTTTTTCTTACATTCTGTGGATAAATGTTTTATCTCTATGTCATAATTTTTAAAAGTTAAGACGATGAAACACTCCGCTTCTCAGATTCTCATCGTGTAAGTCATTGTTCTATCACTAATTTTGAAATAAATAAATTGAACCTAGTAAAAGGAGGCTGGACAAAATATGTGTGAGTATTTTATGACAAGCCCACCATAGTACTCACAGAATGTATGATGAGTACTCAAGGAACACTCAATTTTATAGGGCCATTATCCAATAGTCGTACTCAGATACTCAAATTCCAGTACAAGTACTACTAATGAGTTCTCGCTGCATTTTCTAGCGTGAGTACTTTTTGAGTACTCTCGTGATGAGTACATTTACTAGGGTTTCCTTTTAAGGAACATGAAATAAACTTGGCAAGTATTTAATATCATTTCGTTTTCTTACTTTGATTTTAATTTAAGATAAGTAACTCGTGATGACCACTGTACTTTCTAATGGAGTAAGTTCTGGTACAACATAATATTATTAGTTTTTTTTAATGAAAAACGTATGTTTAGACTATGTCAGTAGATAATGTCTATGCTCAATGTATGTTTTTAGCTGTACCCATTAATTGGAATGATATTTCTAATCTAACAACGTGTACAGAAACACTTTCAATATTCGTCAAACGATATTTTATATACGGAACTGAAAATACAACTCATCATTTATGGCAAATACCAGGCAATTTTTTCTTTTTATTCATATAAATACTTTAATTTTCTGTGTTGTTCTGTAGATGGTGGTGGTATACTAATACCTACTTTGGAGCAAGAAGCTGTTCTTGTGGTTAATACACTTAACGGTTTAGTATCGATATATGCAACTGACAAACATGATGTTGGCAATAGGGGTGGCACATTTACTTTACTTGAAAAAGTAAATCAGTAAAGTAACTTAAATAAAATATTTACTATTTACTTTTGCAAAGTAAATATATTTGCTAGTAAATAAAATAAAATTTGGCTTAATTCCATCAGGCTACACATCGAGCAACATATATACTGCACAATCAACTTTGAATTAGTTAAAATACGTATATTCGAAACAAATATGATTAGATTTTCTGCTGATAATCCAACTTTCAGTGGAAAGGGTGTTGGTGCTTACATTTTATAGTGAGTTAAATTCTTTACTGCAAATGGTTATTGTCCAATAATTCGTTATTCGATGAACTATGACNATCATTATCAATTTTGATAACTTTATTAAACGTTTTCTATGTGATTCGTTTTTGCTATTCTACATTTTATATTCCTGTAACAGACTCAACTTATTTGTACGAAGCAATTTACATAATAACGGATTGAACTCATTCAGCAAGGAGTAGAAGTATACGGTTTATATTTTATGATTGATATTCATATTACTGAAGTACTTATCATAACTTGCCTAGTAATTATGAGAAATCAAATATCTACATTCTAATAATATTATAAATAGTAAGTAATGATTTAACTAAAATATTTTATTTTCTTGATATTACTACTCGAGCACAGTCGCTTTTTAATATAATCGAGCCCTATGTGTTTCATCATCAATATGAATCAACAATATTATTTCTGCTGAGGTAGATGACAAACAATCTGAGAATTTGATTATAGGTATCAGTTTTGTCGATAATTTGAATCTATCTAATAGATACACTCAACTGCGAGCAGCCTCTTAGATAATGAAAAGAAAACTAATAACTGAAATATCCTTGATGAAACTATACGAAATATTTCCTTTTGATTCTTATTAATCATTTTATTTGCTATCGTTAAATAATAAAGTGAACTATCTTTACTAGGAATAATTGCCAGATGAATCAACAAAATAGTGTGTTTTTGATATATCAAAACATGATTGGTGCAATTCAGGCTTGCCAAACCTCCTGATTTGACCAGGAGACTCCTGATTTATG